AGACTTGTCCTCTCTAACATCCCCATAAACAACATATAATTCAATATATAGGCTAGCATAACATACTTCCTGGTGTTTTATTTCCTATGTGCTCAGAGAACTGGTGTTTTGTCCACTCAGAGGTAATATTGCTGTCAAGGTTTCCAGATTCTTCAATAGAAACAAAAACTGTGAAAGGCTCAATTCTGGGGCTGTTCCTGGAAATGTTTGCACCTTGAATTTCCTCAAGGGGATGAATAACGTATCTATCTATCTATCTATCTATCTATCTATCTATCTATCTATCTATCTATCTATCTATCTATCTATCTATCTATCCATCCATCCCAAGTTCCTGCAGTGGAAAGTCATAGAGAAAGAATACGGTGGTGCTACATGTCAGCTGGCTACGAATCTACACGTTAAAGAGATTATTGTTGTTATATTTGAAATAAAGATTAGTTTTGACTAATAACCATTAGAAAAACAGACTTTTTTTGGCCGCGTGGTAGTTAGCTGTCGAAGAAGAAACTGTTGACAGTTGCTAAGATTAGATGATGAAATGAAAACTACACTAAATATGAAGCTAGCGCTATGTTAGCTTAGCATAAATACTGGAAGCAGGGGGGAATAGCAAGCTAATCTCAGTCCAAAGGTACAATGAAATTTAAAAATCCTCCTTTCTTCATCTTTAAAGTTGCCACTTAACATGTCCTGGTTGTTACCAGAGAGCTAGCTCGCTACTTCCCCCACTGTCTTTGTGCTAAGCTAAGCTAAGCTAAGCTATCTCTTGGCAGTAGCTTCATGCCAAATGATGCAAGAGTGGTGTCAATCTTCTCATCTGACTCTCTGCTAGAAAACTGTGTATTTCCCAAAACTATTTATCACATGTATGTTTCCTGGTCTTTGGACGTAGCTGTGCAGGTAGTTTTTCCACATTTGTTGTTGAGCAATCCCTATTCAAAGCACAGCTGCTGCTGACAGACCAGCGATGCTTGACTTCCCTCTTTATTTAAAGTGTGCAAGGAATTTTCTATAGACCCACAACCTTCCCCCCAGTCTGAGAATAAAGGAGCACTCCACAAACAAGTGTCTTCCAAGAAGAGAGGCCATACGACCAGGAAATGGGGCAACTGGGACCTTTTCTGAGAAAAGTTAATGGCTTAATTATCTGGAACAGTGATGGACCAGCTCTTTCAGAAGCACAAATTAAGGCAAAATGATGTGGGAGCATTAAGGGGGACCTCAAGAGCCAATTTAACTCAGCAGTTGAGTTTTACAGACTCAAACGTGGGGAAGCTGCACGAATCGATTGTACTTCATCTGCGTGGAGCAGCCAGTGGTCCACAAAACACCTGCTGTCACAAACAGAAGTTAAATATATGCTTTCTGTATATTTATATCTGTGTTTTAGCATCCTGTTAGCTTATGGTCCACTGTAATACTGTGATAGTTTCCTATAGCTTATGATTCCCAGTCAGATTATGCTTTTGTCAGAGTGAAATAGCTTAAATTATTTGAGCTTGGTTCGGTTATACAGGAGGTTATGAGATGAGGGAGAGTGTAGATCTGGAATGGAGGTGTTAGTAAATGATGTGTGTCGATGAGAAGCTCTACTTTCTCTTAGTGCTGAGTGTAATGGGAGAAGTGGTGATCGGCAGCATTTACACTCATTACGAGCTAAACAGACACCTTCATCTAACAGTTCACCTCCACTCCTGCAGTTCAGATTGTGTCTCCGTGAGCATCTCTCAACTAGTGATTGTTCTGTTAAAGAGGACGACTGTACATAAGAAGTTATTAAAGCGAGGCCGCCTGAAGCCTTCGTTAGATTAAACATTATTGCCAGAAGACAGAGAGCTACAAGAGGATATTCTACAGACTGATTCTGGTGTTTTCCCAGAATCGTATTTAAATTTAACAACTTTTGTGCCAGATGTGGCAGTTGTGGGAAAGGCTTTTCAAATCAAATCCAAATGCTTTAAACCTCTAGGAACTAACAATTGGAAATGATAAAACTCATAACTTAAAAAACAGATATGAGGGATGACTTCTTCTCCCTTCACACAACCTAACTGCACCAGTGGAGTGTGAACATACAGACCGGTACGGAGGCAAAACACCAGCGCAGCTCCAACCAGGAAGCACAGGACATGCAAGTTTTGCAGTGCCGCCATTTTTTTAGCTCCATGCCCACGTCATCGGTGGGTGTCTGCCGTGATGTGACTTTTATTTTGCCTTTTTTAAATTCACCCTAAATGTCGTTCCTCTGTACCAAGAAGCCATTAGTTTGTCTTCTTTGTGTCTCTATGGTAACTTCAAGTACATTAAATAAGGCACACGAGAGAGTTCTAGTCATAAAACAAGCATAACATTGTGAAGTGAGTTAGATGATTGACATCAAATATGTAGGCTGCCTGATGATAAACATCCTACTGGTGGATCTAACACTATGTATAGCGTGTCTCTGCATATAAATGCCAGTGCTATATGATTGCATGTGTGTGTTTGTGTGCATGTAGTCTTTCTGTTTGGACTTAGCAGGCATGATTTCATGGGAAAAAAAGGGTGGTGGTGCCAAAGCGTGTCCTCTGCTCTCTGTTTGGGTGACTGCTGGAAGAGGGGTGGGGGGTTTTTACACGTACTCCCTGGCTGTGGAAGGCTGTGATTGGCGGTAATATTGTTGCCCTCGCATGTCGTCTTTGGAGCAGGAGCAGCACAGCAAGGAGCCGCCCAGAACCGTCAGACTGGCTGCCGCCCAGCCCACGAACAGGGCCGAGCCGAACTCATACCTGCCGAGGAAATATAGAGGAACAGGTCAGGAAGGAACACCGGGATGGTGTTGTGTTGGATTCTTGGTTTTGCTGTTTTAATATCACTTAAGAATTAATTACAGGTGGCTCCAACTAGCTGGAGGTTAAAAAAAAAGAGTAAATTAACATTAAACAAAAAAATATACATGCAGATGGTTTTTCTTCTTCTGCTGGAATTTACTCAACAGTTCTTGAGTTGTCCAACTGGTAGCAAATTCTCAACATCTTGGTCAGGTGTGGCTTTAAAGGACAATCATCAAATACACTCTTTTGACCAGTGTGAATAAAAGGCCACCTTACAATGCAGCTTTATTCAAATGACAACAGAAAGACGAGTGCTGGCTGTTGGCCTGCTGGATGCTGCCGTGTTAAAAAGGCAGCACCTGGATGTCTATAAGTCCTGCATTTGTCATCTAAGAAATGACTCCAGACAGCTCTGAATGTCCAACAATGTGATCCTGTCCTTGAAAATGCTCATATACTTTGTCAGGCCTTTAAACTTTAAACTCCTCTGTCCCATATATGTGGAACAATGCCATGGTGGACACACTCGGTACGAACTCATTATCTCTGCTCTATGACTTTACATCCCTCTCCAGCCAGTGATTCAATTCATCAAAACTCATGTCTGTGTATAAAACTTACATAGTAAAAGTTTATTCCAGGAAAATACTGCCCTCCAGCCGTAAAATGTCTGATCTAACTCTACACCGTTGCTTCCCCTAGAAAGCACTGAACTTACTGCAGCTCAAGCACACCAGCTCTCCTACAACTCTGCTCAAAAACTGTAGAACTACTCAAAGCTATAAAGCAACAAGTTGCAATATTGGAATAATTCTTCCAGAAACCAACTCTGACAAAAAAATATAATGATACAGAAAGTCCCATCCTGCAGGCTGACAGGACAGGATTGGTCCTTTAGGTTGATAATGTTTGAAACCCTGGAGGTCTGAATGTGTGTTTTCATTAGTATGCTGCAGAGACGAGGGATGGGAATGTCCTGGCATGGACTGTTTATTTCTCTGATTATGTGTTTTCTAGAAAATGAAAAACACGTTTGCAAAGTTAAAAAACTACATTTTCAGAGGAGGGATGCTTTAATATACAGCATTATCTTTCATATAAGGAATAGTAGCAGACGCTGCTTTACTTTTAGTATCAGATATTTAAAATAATGTGTTAATGCTAATAAATTTAGTAAATTAAGTATATAAATGTATTAAAAAATAAATACATTTATATTTACATTATAAATACATTTTATGAATACATTTAATGTTAATAAAATAATATCTAAATAGTGTTATCTATTTTTATCAGCCATAATTTGAAACTATTAGCAAATGAAACTCATCATTAGCTCTTTTTTTTATCAGCCATCATTTAGAAGCATTAGTAACTAAAGCTGGCGCTATTTATGAGCCATGATGAAAAACTATTAGCAATTATTATTAGCTTTATTTGCTATATTAACTATAAATTGGAACTACTACAAACTTAAGCTTGACATTTTTGTCAGCCACAACTAGTCATTTACTGACTGTATTATAGCATTCTTAGTGGTCATAATTTGAAACAATCAGCAACTGAAACTGTCCACATCTCAGACGTAATTTGTAAGTGCTAGCCATTAATGTTAGCCATTTTATTGGCCATTATGTGAAATAATTAGCAACTAAAACTGGCTATTTATTAGCTCTGATAGGAACTGTTAGCAACTATTATGAGTTAATCTTAATTAGCTATAAGTTGGAACTAGAGATGCACGATATATCGGCGACCACATCGGTATCAGCCGATATTAGTGTTTTCCCCCATATATCGGTATTGGTCCGATGAACAAATTTAGCTGGTGTGAAAAACCGATTATTTGTCTAACATCAGCGCCTTCGTCTCTACATTTGATATTGCTGCTATTTCACAGATGTTTTCACTTAAATGGTCCTGGATGTCAAATATGTTAAAATATGTTGAAATATGTTTTATTTTGTTACATAATAAAGAAAACTATGTGGTCTCATTTGGTATGGGCTTCTTTTGAATAATTTTCACGTTCTCACAGTGCTAACTTCTGCTCATTTTTCAGTGTCAACAAAAATTGAATATCGACATCAGTAACATCGGTTATCGGTGATGTCAGAAATCTTGATATCGGATATCAGTATCGGCTAGAAATTTTAATATCGTGCATCACAGATCAGCCATAACAAGAAATGTAAGCGGCTGGTGTGAAAAAATTTTATTAGCCATAATTACAGATTTATTGCCATTATAACGAGCTATTACTACCAAGAATTTGAAATACAGTCGACTGTAGTATCTTGCTGCAGGACATTGGGTCTCTTGGCTGTCGCTCCAGTTCAATAAAAGTAAAGTGGCCAAATTACAGTGACCCTGGAACTTTCAGCATCAATGAGTGTAAATCACAAGCCTGAAAAGTGTTGTAACTACAGCCGGTTGTCTCTGGCATCAGATTATTTTAATGTAAAGCAAATGTTCCTTAAACACCCCCTGGCTGGTTGTCAGTTCATAAACAGTGAGTGGCAATACAAACAATCCTAACACTCCTGCAGCAGCTCTTTATCTGTTTTAATGGTGTGATGTGAACACTGAGATTCTGGAGACAGACATCTTGTCTCTGTGCCATTTTCCTTTTCTCACATCTTCTTTTCAACATCAATTCAAATAAATGTAACACTCTTACAAAAACACTCGGCCGTCTCATTGTGAGAAACTTGATAATGTCTCTTTATAATCTGTTTAATCAGCCTGACACTCGTGGTGTTCAGGACACTGGGCATGTTGTTGTTTATGTGTTCATTCAGTTTTTGTGCCTCAGAAACGGATCAAACTGAAAGGCCCTGATTGATAATAATGACAGTAATCACAGTTTTCATAATTTTAGTGGCACACTGTTTCCCACACATCATTCATATTTGCTCCCTGCTGTGACCCTCATACCTGGCGTTGGGCGGCGTGTTTGGGTTGAAGAACTGATAGGACACCTGAGTGGCATACCAGGACACAGACACCAGTGTGCACAGACCTGTGGAGGGCGAAACAAGCGCTTTAGTTCTCCGTGTTAATTAATCCTGCAAGTTGTCCCGACAGAGACAACAACACACAAATGAGTTGCGCAGGTCCTCGTTTAGCAATCTTTACGCCTGGGGTTATGGTTTATGTCTGAGGTCAGTGACTAATGCCTCCAAAATGACCACTTCCTGTTTACAGCAGGGACTCTAATTACCCAGAAGACCCCTTATGAGAAATCTGGGCTAGAAAAATGCCTGGCCACTCCTGCTAAATGCACTGATTGTAGGAGATACTGCATATCTGGCTTTGCAAATTAAACAAAACATTAACAGAAGGCAGCACAAGCAGAAGTCACACCTGCAAGCAGGAAGAGAGCTCCCCCGGTCACAGCGATGCGGGTCTTGGTGGCCGGGTTGTTGTCTCCCACCTTCGTGCACTTCATGCCCACCACGCTGACGATGATGCCGATGAAGCCCAGCAGCACCGACACCACCATGAGGGCCCGGCATGTCTGGATGTGGACTAGATAAAGAAGAGGAAAGGAGTAGGCAGGGGCCGCGAGGGAGTACGGGATGTTGGATGGACAGCAGAAAATATGAAACCAAGGGAAAGAGAGGAAGGACAGTGATGAGGAGATGAGAATACAAACAGGGTCCTTCACTCCATCGCTTGGAACAAAACACAAACATTTCTGGACATAAAAGTAATAATTACATGGGAATGAAGCTACACATGACATGCAGGATTGATGGGAGACCACATGAATTTACGACTGAAAGCTCTGACCTACTTATCGGAGCGGGGTCATTCCCGCTTTTTATTTTCCAGAGGTGACCGTCTTGGCCAAGCTCTGGACCTTAAATGATCCCCCAAATCATCTCCACATCATTCCACTGTGGTTTTGCCGTCTCAGAAATCTAATGCGCTGCCCACACGGCCCTCAGCACACACATAGCTTAGTGGGAGGAACACATTTACACATATCTACACACACACACATGTGCAAGTGCATAATATCAGCGCACACGCAATGACTGTAGGTGGCACAGACACAGATGAAACTCTCTCTCTGGCACAAAGTGGCTGTAGGAGGTCCTGCTTTACATGTTTCACACAGTGGGATTAGTGTGGCTTTGTCACAAAGCAAGATTGTTTTCGCGGGGCTGTCGCCACAGCGATCAGACGTTACTGCCTCGGCCACGGCCGCTCACAGACGTGCTAACGCAAAAGCAACGCTAACAACGCTGTCAAAGTAATGACAGAGTGTGTCTTATTTACGACAAGCTGAAATCCCAGCAGTGCTAGAAAACATATAAATTCTAATAGACTGATTTTGATACATGACAAAAGGTGACAAATGTGGTGATTACAATAAATAAGAGAGCTTTTCAAACAGGCTCCACAGCCAAGGTCACAGGCATTATCTTCTAATAAAGAGTAAGACAGTAAATCACAGGATTAAGGCAAAACATTTGACACATTTATTAGACTTAGCCACAAACATTACAGTGAGGAAGACTGAGGAGCTCAGCAAAGATCTAAAAAGGTAAATAATTGACGTGAGCAAGTCAGGAAAGTCACTTGGAGCCATTTCAAAGCAGCTACAGATCTCAAATCATCTGTTTGTAAGTATAAAGTGCCTGGTACAGTCATGTCACCACCACGATCATGAAGAAAACATGTCACCTGCTGCTGAGAGACAAATGGGCACGAGGGTCCAGAGTCAAACAAAATCACAAAAAGCATGTCTGCAAGAACTAAAAGCTGCTGGAACACAGCTGTCAGTGTGGGTTTTACATTATCATGAGCAAAGAAGCTGCCACATGTCCTCTAGAAGCAGCACCTTTAAGCTTGACTGAAGTTTGCTGCTGATCACACTGACAAAGAAAAGACCTTCTGGAGGAAAGTTTTGTGATCTGATGAAACAAAAATGTACCTACATTTAGCCACAATGACCAGAAATATGTTTGGAGGAGAGAAAGTGATGCCCCTAACTACAAAAACACCAACTGTACTGTAAAGCATGGTGGTGGCAGCATCATGATCTGCTGCCAGTGGAACTAGTGCTTTATTAAACAAAGTAAACTGAACAATGAAGAAGGAGGATTACCTCCACATTCTTCAGGAAAACCTAAAATCATCAGCCAGAAAGTTGGATCTTGGATGCAGTTGGGTGTTTCAACCAGCCAATGACCCCAAACATGCATCAAAAAGTGGTAAAAAATGGTTAAATCAGGCTAGAATTACATTTTTAAGCTGGTCCATTGGCTGTAAGAAAAACCAACACATTTAGTTTACCTGCCAATTCTGTTAAGAGAAGCAGTCAAAGATACAACCAGAAGCTTGTGGATGGCCACCAAAGTGCCTAGCTGACATTTAACCAATTATTAGCATTGCCGTATGTATATTTATGACCCTGCAGATTTTTGTCACATTTCCAGAAGATCTACAGTAACTCTATTGAAGAACCAAATTCAGAGTTACAGAAGTCTTTGAAAACTCAAGACTGCCATGAAACACACGGTATTTAAAAGTGTATGGAAACCTTTGTCGAGAACAGAGTACAATAGATTAGAACGTATGAGACTATCAGCTCAAGAAAAGCAAAATCTTCTCAAAAAGAGCTGCAGAGCAACAGCCTGACAGGAAGGCAAAGTCATCATTTGTCATTGCGACAGGAATACACACACACACCATCATTCATGCTGCAGCAGCGAAGCAGCATTTCAAAAGCTGATCTAAAGGGACTTAAGATGGAGGGAAGAGGATGGAGCGATCTTTGAAGTCTGATTTATGGCTCCAGAGCTCCTTTTGATGGAGCGTCTGAATGGTCCTCAACAGAGAGAGGTTTGATTTTCTTTTTTTTTTTTTGCTGGTTGTTGTTTTTCATTCACTCTGGGCATCCCTCTTTTCTTCTGAGGTTGTGAGGGGGAGGTTTAGGCTAAATGACACCATTCTGACTAGTTTCAGGCAGTGACAATCCACAAGGGTGTCCGAGGGCCTTTAGGGTGAAGTCGAGGCTAAGGGGGAGGGCGGGAGAAAGATCGGGGTGGGTTGGCTCACCCACTGGGCCCTCTCTTTCCACTGGTTGGCAGTGCCAGCCACTAGCATTCAATGAGTGTGTGTGTGTGTGTGTGTGTGTGTGTGTGTGTGTGTGTGTGTGTGTGTGTGTGTGTGGGCACTGTAAGGTCTCATTGTGAAGTCACTGTGAGGGTTTCATACGTAATAACCAGAGTAACTACAACACTACACTTATGTTTCACGCCACATGATTTCAGCTCAAAGCACAAATTTTATTCAGCAAATATTGAGTTTTTCTTGACCAGCCTCCGTTTAGTTAGCTCCATGAACGTATACAATAAGCCTGAGGGGTCAAGATGAAACTGGCAGTTGAAATGACACAATCAGAAACATGTTTCCCATCAGATAGCTGTGACAGCTGCTGCTATTGGCAAAGTTTCTCACTTGACATATTCATATCTGTAATTGTCATTGTTGCTATTGAGTCTGAGCACCAAAACCATTCAGTGTTGTTCTTACTGTCAACAAACCTCTTTAAAATATCCAAACCAACAATAAACTGATCCGACAAGTTGTTTCTATGGCACCAAGCCTGATTTAACTCCCATATTCACCATCCCACTGCTGTAAATAATCAGTAGTGTACCGAATGTGCAATAATCTGCAGCTAGAAATAGCCCCTAAATTCACTCCTATCTGTATTTGAGCCTTTTTTTTTAAGGTTTATGTCTTCAGGAGGAACTTAGAAAGTCCTGGAGTGTTCATTTTTTATGGAATTTATCAGCTTTGTTTCACCTTTAAATACAAGGCACCTGAACCTGTGATGATGGCTGATCCAAACCATCCAAAATGGTAAAGTTTTGCAATGTGCAGTCTCTTCTGAATGTAATGCTGAGCTCAGCAGGCAGAATTAGCCTTTCACGCTGGAGAAAGGAGGTCCTTATTCAGTGTGACACAACAGATTGGCAGAGGAACAGTTAAAGCATCTTCAACTCAGTGCTCGGACGTTTCTGGATGCAAAGAGCTGTCCTTTCAGTACCACCATCCACACTCTCCTCTCCTGACAGATTACAGTCCGTCCTCTCAGCCGTCTATTATCCACCACCACCACCACCATCATCATCATCATCATCATCATCATCTTGGGCAGAATGCTCAGTAAACCTGCAGCACTTTTCCACTACGCTTCCTTGGCCACATCAGCGGAGCGCAGCACAGTCTGGTGAACAATTATACCCACCATCACATGCTGCTCCTGCTGCGAAAGGGCTCCTTCGCAGCTCTGATAAACCCCCGATACCGGAGGGGGTGTTTAATCAAGACCTGCAGCATCTTCTCTGAGGCCCAGACACATGACATAATCTGCTCTGTTTCCTAATCTGTCTGGGGAAACACCTGAACGACCTCGTGATTGATCAGGAGCGCTTGATCACGACTCAGAGCGACATGTGGTTAAAAGGTTTACTGTAGTGTTTGTCTTCCCGTCTTAATCTGTACTCACTGGGTGTGTTAGTGGACAAATGGAACAATGTGCGCGTGTGGGGACCGGCGGACAGAGCGCATTCTGGGAATATCTCTGGTGTTTGGCTCAACACTGGCCTTTTCTTCTCCTAACAGCCCCTATTCATGTGCCAGGACAATACGCCGTTCTTATTGCTGCAATATACCAAAGGAGATGGGAGATCAGCTGGGGCGCGCTGCCGCACAGATTGCCACCAAAATTGTGTTGATATAATGACTCACCGAGACACTGAAATGTTTGCAAAGTGCCTCGTTTGTTGTTCCGAGGAAAGTGTGTCACAGCAAGAAACCAAAACCGCAAAGAAAAATAGACAAATTCCAATCTATTATCTACAGACCGCTCCGTCCTGTGGAAGGCTGCCGGAGCGCTGGAGCGTGTCCCAGTCGGCTTTGGGGGGCGAAAAACAGGACAGGTCTGCAGTCAGATTCATATTGTTGTTTTGTTTTTTGTTGTTGACTGAAGCCCACCCACCCCCACCTCCACCCCCCAAGCCCCTGTAGTCTGTCATTAGAATCTCTAATAGGATGATTCAGGCAGACAGTAGATGGATGGATTCATATAATCTGTGCGCCATTAATTATGAGTCACTACGTCCTGCTTGCAAATTGGAGATGACAGGAGGCTCATATTCTGAGCTAATTTATGTCTGAACCCCACATTCCTCTCCCCCCCCGTCCTCGCTCCTCACACATTACGTGGCGTAGTGTTTTGGAATTTTTTACAAATGAAATGAGCTTCATTAAAGACGCAGCATTTTAAGTGAGATTTACAGCTTGTGAACTTTATGCGTCCCACACAGTGTTTAGCGCTCTGGGAGTTGTTTTCCTTCTGGTTTTTTGCTGCTGATTAACAACAAAATTGCGGGTGAAAGGAATGGGCTGCCTACAATAACTGCTGTGATTTGTAGCACAGCGTCACAAATGCCTCTTATGGGAAGTTTTGGGAAGACAAAACAAATGAATAAAAGTCACTCGACAAAACCAAATGAAGGCAGTCAAGAAAGAAAGCAATTTAAAAGAATTAGAGGATCCTTTCCATGTTGATGCATGAAGAGCAGATTACCGGCTTGCTTGAACTGTAAATCTGACAAATTAATCAGTGACTGCACAGTTCCCCCATGAGGTGTTCAACTTAAGATGTGTGAGAACTTGTATAAACATTCAAAGGCAAGTTGCAGCAAAGACAATTCCATTAAAGCTGCTGAGGAGGGAGAAAGCACCGGTTAGACAATCTGGGTTTGCATCGTACTCACTGTCCAGCGAGAGCATGGAGTCAAAGATCTTGCACTGCACCTGTCCCGTACTCTGCGAGGCGCAGCTCATCCACAGCCCCTCGTACAGACCCACGGCCGTGATGATGGCATCGCCGGCGTACGACGACTGCTTCCACTGCGGCAAGGCGGTGGTGGAGATGATGCCGATCCAGCCGCCCAACGCCAGAAAATAACCCAACAGCTGTAGACCTGAGTTGGCCATCCTTCTCTATAGCTCTGTAGGTCTCTATCTGCTCTTTCTCTCACTGCTTGACTTGTGACAGCTTTTTAACTGGACTGCTCTGGTGCGTTGCCCTTTCTTCTTTTTCTTTTTTTTTTTTGGTGGAGTCCTTGTGGGGCACACCTGCTACTTGCTTCACTTTTCTCTTCACTATCTGGTCCCTCTGAGCATCTCTCTCTGCCTGTCTGCGCTCACTGACATTTGTAGAACTGTCCTCCTTTCCCTCCTCTCTTGCTCGTCTTTCTTTTCCACGTCCCGGGCTGGGTTTTCTCTTTTTCTGCCCGTCAGCTGGGAGGATGAGTTGATGTCTTCCCCCTCGGGGTTGTCCTGTCTGATTCCGTGGTCCCACTGGGGATCACTCAAAGTGGAAGAAAGAGTTTCTCGTGGTCAGCGGTTCAGTTCATCAAGCATCGTCGCTGGGCTGCTTCACTCTCTGCATGGCTTCTTCCAATTCTCTCTCTCTCCCTTTCTCTCTCTCTCTCTCTCTCCCCCCACTACAATCTTTCCATCTGCTCCAGGCTCGAGTGGCTCAATGAGGGGTAGCTGAAAAAAAGTGAAAAGCAAAAAAAAAAACACAAAACATGTGAGCACAACAGGCTGACCATGAAGGGAAAGGGAAGAGAGCCGGCCTGTGATTGGACGCCACTGTGTCGTGGGAACGCCTACTGGGAGGGGAGAGGGATGGGCTGACTGGGGAGAATAAGGACTGTTTCAAACAGAGAGGGAAATAAAAAGAAAAAGATGCAGCTCTCAAGGGAAAACACCTTCGCTAAAGTCACTATGAGGCATTTCTCGCTGGTTTTTTTCCAATGAAACTGAGGACTTCCGATCAAACCAAACTTCAATATGCAGCTTTAGGAGGTATTGAAGGCATTGATCCATTAAAAGTTTACTTCTCCCCCTCAGCTGGAGGTGCAGAGGAGGTGGTGGTAAAGTGCAACAAATGCGCGTAAATCAGCATCTAAACAATGTCCCGGCTGAAAGGGACTTGTCAAATCCAGACAGGCTCTCTGGAAATTATGGGCTGCCGAGGCAAGCCTCCCCCCATCACCACGGCAACCCCAACAAATGAAGAGCGAGAAGGAGAGAGCGAGAGAGAGTTCAGCCGACTGTACATCGTTTACGAGCTGTAAGGGGCAGACACACTCCGGCCTTTTGTGTCGGCGGAGGAGCGCGGAGACCTGTTTTCCCACAGCTGCGTACGCGACCGGCTCTCCCTTCAACTCAGCTCATTAAATTAGCCTCAATACGCCGCAGACTAATTCAATAATTCCATTGTGCCAATTAGACCGTCGACACACTCGCGCTCTCGGAGACACGGTTGTTTTCTCACATCTGTAAGAGACATGTCTCACCCCCGCCCTGCACACACTCACCTCCACGCACACGCTGCCCCGTCGACACAACACGCATGTTCTGGCCCGGGTTCTCACAGCTGTTTTCGGTTGGGCCTCCTGAGAATAAACTGTTGATCATTAGCTGGTACTTTAATGAACGTCTGGCGCTCTCCATGTTTGTCTCTCCTGACTTTGCTGCTTGCATTTTGGTTCTTTTATGTTTTTACCTCCGCTACTATTTCAACTTGAACTTGATCCACCGCAACATCAAAAACACACCGGATAGCGTGAACATGCATGTGACCTCACTTATCCAAGCATCACTGCACACGCTCGCATTCATACACACTTATTTAGGTAGAACGAACCACACAGGGGAGTTCAAACACCCCCCACTTTATTATTATTATCCTTCTCTTTCTTATTATTCTCACAGGTTTGAATATTTCTGACCGTGTGTGACCGAGACCATTGTGCGTTCTGGTTTGCGGTTGTCTAATGAGGGGCTTTGACATTTCGAGGTGAGGGAGGTCAGCTGAGCCCGAGAGGTGAAAAGAGATGAAAGACAAGCAAAACAAGTGCTCAGGTCCGCCGTTAGGAGGGGCGGTGGGCTCCAGCAAGGCTTTGAAGACCCTTCTGATTTTGAATCATAACAACACACTGCCTACTGGAGAGGTTACGGCGGGGCGAGCGAGAACTCAGCAATGTTTGTCTGAAACACTCACTGTCTGCAGAGTAAGTCCTCACACCCAAACGACCAAACAGATCGCTCATTGAATTCAAATATCACTCAAAAATTCACCTCTTTTGGCCAGAAAAAAGGCACAGAAGTCCTCCAAACCAAATGAACATGTTAGAAATTGCTGTTGAAAAGCACATAAAGGCATCTTGTCACACTTGTGTAACTTTCTCACATGTCACCTGTGCAAGATATCTCGCAAATATCTTGAAATCTTCGAGTCTGACAAACACAATATCAATCAATGCCGATGTAAGGCATGCCAGATTGAGCGCCACATGCCTCGGCGAGCTGTAGCACCACAATAAAAAGCAGTTAATAGAGAAAGGTACATGAAAGCAGAGGCACATCATCAGTTCATGTTATAGCTGAAGACTCAAGTGGCTGTAATAAGGTGATATTAGGAGAGGTGACACCAACACAAGCAGTGCCAGCATCAGTTCTGAGCATCCTCTCTTACTTTGAGGCCTGTAATACTGGCCTGGGTGAGGGACCAGGTTTAGATTATATGGAGACAGCTAGTCTGCTCAGTGTTGCTAGAAACAGTCTAACCTTGACTAGAACAGACCGTTCCATCATATCGTCCTCCTACTGCGGAAGCTTCCGTCTGTCGGAACGCCATATTAGGGCAAGATAAGGCCTCAGCATGGAGACAGGCTGGTAGAGGTTAAAGGAGAGCAGAGACCAAAGATAGTAACCTGCTCTAATCTGTAGGATGATTTGGGATGACGTCCGCTAACAGCTAAAGGAGATACCCTATGAGGGAAAAGGATAAACTTTCCTTCACAGTAGCTATAGGTTTTGAACGTTAGCAGCCGTCACACTGTGAGAATTTGCCACCATTTTGGATTGCAAATATTTCACCACATCTTTCGTTAAGTTTAAAGGAAAAATAAAGGTTCAGGTTTAAATAAGTACTTCATTAAGGTTA